CTGCTCGCTGCAGCAACCCTTGTACTTGACGATGTTCTCGTGGTAGAGGGTCTTGAGGATCTGGATCTCCCTCCTCCAGCTGCTCAGGAGCTCGGGGCTGCTCCCGGATTTCAGGGACTTCACCGCCACCATCTCCCCGGTGCCGTCGTTGGTGGGGTCGTAGCAGTACAGCCCCACCTTCCCAAAGTGCCCCTGGAACGGGGGAAAGGCAGGAATTTGGGATTGGGGAAGGGGAAAAAAAAAAAAAAAAAAAAAAAAGGGAGGGATTCAGGGGGTGAGGGATGGAATTAGGGATGGATGGCGGGGATCAGGGGTTGAAGGGTGGAATTTCAGACCCAGGCAGGGAAAAGAGGTTAAAGCGGGGAATTAAGGATTAAAGAGCGGAATTAGAGATTAAAAGTCGGAATTAGGTATTAAAGAATGGAATTGGCGATTGAAGAACAGACTCAGGGATTAAGTAATGGAATTCTGGATCCAGGCAGGGTAATCAGCGGGGAAACGAGGTCAAAGCGTGGAATTAAGGATTAAAGGGTGGAATTAGGGATTGAAGGTCAGAATTAGGTATTAAAGAGCGGAATTAGGGTTTGCACAATGGAATGTTGGATGCAGGCAGGGAAATCCCCAGGGAAAAGGGACTGAAGCTTGGAATTCTGGATCCCAACAGGGGAAAGAAGGTCCAGAATTCCTGGCGGGAATCTCAGGCCACCACCGACCTCCCCCAGCTCCCGGATTTTCTTCAGGTACCGCTTCTGGAAGACGGTGGGATCCGACACCGGGAAATCGGGATTCACCGATGTCACATCCACCAGGTCTGGGAGGAAAGGAGGAATTTCACTTTTTTCCCCCTTTTCAACCCCCTTTTTTTTTCTCTTTATCTTTTCCCTCCTTTTCCCCCCACTTTTCTTTCCCCTTTTCTCCCTTTCCTTCCACCTTTATCCCCTTTTTCCAAACCTCTTTACCTCCCCTTTTCCCTTCTTTCCCCCTTTTTCATTCTTCCTCCCCTTTCCCTTCTTTTTTTCTTTTTCCCTCCCTTTCCCCCTTTTCACTCCTTTCCCTCCTTTTCCCTCGTTTTCTCACTTTTCACTCCTTTTCCCCATTTCCCTCCTTTTCCCTCTTTTTCCCCCTTTTCCCTCTTTTTCCTTTTCCTCCCCCTTTTCCCTTTTATTTTCTTCCTCTCCCTTTCCCTCCCCTTTTCCCCTTCCCCCCCATCCCACGCCCCCCTGCCCCACCCAGAACCCACATCCCCCTTTTTCCCCAGTCCATCCCATTCCCCCCATCCCATTCGGGTCCCTCACTGTGGGGCTGGAGGCGGGTGAGGTCCCTGAGGATGGTGCGGAACGAGGGCCGTTCCCCGGGGCTGTAATGGAGGCACTGCGAGATCAGCGAGGCCAATTCCCGGCACGACGGCTCCGGCAGCCGCAGACGCTTCTCGTAGAACCGCTCCTTCTGCGGGAAAAAACGGGATGATCCCGCCCTCAGAGCCGGCCGAGGC